CTCTCTGAAACCACCGAAATAAGCTGTCACTATGAAACATTCATAACAGCCAGAGCCATCGTTTAAAAACGAACAGAACTAATTTGTTCTCCCAATATATATATATATATATATATATATATATATATATATCTACATACATATATATAAATCATGTTTAAAATATAAAATTTGTTTATTATTCTAAAAAAGTTACATAAAAATTAATATGCGAATAACTACAAGGGTGTGTTATAATGTCGCCAAGATAACATTTCGGTCGAATTAGATACGATATACCGCTTTTAATCGTACAAATTTAAAACTATCTTCGTTTTAAACATTATGAAGACTTCGTGCAGTTTTGATCGTATATACGATTGCCAGTTTTGTTCGTATATAGCATTGTGACTTTTTTCGACTTCGTCTCTTATTCACTGTATATAGTCGTAGAAAGTTATGATTCGCGCTACAACTTTATTTTTGACTCTTTTGCATTTTTCTTATCTTTCTTAGCGTCTACGCTCAGCGCATACATTTTCGCCAGCAGTCCGACGAATTCCGTCATGATTGCTATTTTTGTCCTTCATTAAGCCTGGAACCTTGTTATTTATAAGCGGTACACGCATTGTCAGCAGGAAAATCGCTCTTATCACACTTAGCAATATAGCATTTTATGTGTTCGTAAACGTCGTCGCATTGTTCAGTGTGCGCCATTTAAATCGTTACAACAATACGTTTTACTTTAAAAGTCGTTTATTAAAGAATACATAAAATTTACGAAAAACGGCTCTCATATTTTATTTGAAGAACTCTTTTTGTGATTTTTTGTTTAATATAGCTGCCAGCCGCTTCGATCATCTCCTCAATCCTGGACCTAAAGCGAGAGCATGCCTCTGTAAATGATCCCAGTCTAAATCCGCAAATGCCTGCTCAATGGCGGCTCGGAGAGATGTCACGTTGGCATGCCTGGACTTGTTGCTGCCTCTCTCGACAACGCTCTATACATAATAGTCCAGCGGATTTAAGTTTAGTCGGGACTATTTGGAGGCCCGAACTTTTTGGACCAAAACATGTCCACATCCATTGTCGAAGAGCCAATTTTGAACTAAGTGGCTCGTGTGAGCGGGTGTGCCGTCTTGTTGAAAGATATATTGCCTCCCTGAGAACACAGTTTTTATCTAAAATTTCACTACACTGGCACATAAACTTCCTTCGTGACGATTTCTTCCTTCTCGAAGAAGGGCGACGGTAAGACATCGCCTTCACACGAGATAATATTCAAAACGTGGACATTGGCTAGAAACTTTGTCCTGGCTACCACGGGGACATCATCGGGATCATGGGCGAGCCAACGGTCGTTCCTGCGATTCACCTCTACATCCACTATGAAAATCTTTATCGGAGAAGAACTTCGTCAGAGAAAAATCTAAAGCAGCCAGCGGCGTCGTTTTTAAGCGAGGAAATTAACAATTGGCAGCTGGCAACTCTTTTAATCTCAGGGTCTTCGGAAAGCATTTGCCTCACATTAATTATGTAAGATGCATATCTTAGCTTCTCCTGAGAGATCCTACGGATGGTAGAACCGCTTACATCCAAGATCGAAGCCAATTTTTTGAGCGATGTTCCTGGATCCTTGGAAATCAGCTCCTGGGCTTTTCAGACAACTTCGGGAGTCCTCTTTTTCTCGCGAATGTATTTTCCTTGCTGGGTCACTGGAACCTTTCTAGAACTTCTCAGAAGCCGCAAACTTCTGAGCAACACGATAGACAATTGATTTCGTATAACCGAAGAACCTTATTTTCTCGATTGGTGTCCGCCTAACGCCAAGATCTTCAATTATCGCCGCTCTTCGGTTGTGCTCTGCATTCGATCTTACTGGCCAGTTTTTAAATATGACAGTTTTACCTATCCATCTGCTCTACCGTAGCGCCAGCTAACACTTACTACTGAAGTAAAGGTTTGCGGGAAATTCAAATTGAAATCAGTCCCGATTTAAATGGCGTATAAGATAAATTAGATTATCGTTATACATTAAATTACATTTCTCATGATATAGAGGAGACATATATTCTTGATGAAATTCATATAAACAGACCTTTGATATCACGAGAATGCACATGCTTACGTAGATTGGTTTGTTGAGTTTTATCTCTAATTTGAGTAATTCAACAGCAATGAAATTTCCTGCGAAAACGCTTCTACTGTAAAAATTTTTTTTTTCGATAATTGCCTCGGCACTGTATTTACTATTTCATTTTGTCACAAGTCATACATCTAGATGACGAACATTTTCTATAGTTTTGCTAAATACTACATTGTTCATCAATTTGAATAAATTTTTCTCAAAATCATTTGTCGCGCGTGTTTCATACTGTGTATTTATTCGATGAGTCGCGGAACCTCGGAGATTGAGCAAATTGTAGTACGCGGTGTTTCTTTGTAACACGAAAACTATTGCGCGTGCACTGCTGCAGGTTGCACTATTTATCGTATAAGGTTGTAAATAATCTGCATTTTGCTGGATGGTTTGGACGCATTGGACAGAACGGTGAATCAGCGTAAACGTCCTGTATACTTTGTAGGTACTTCAGAACGACTTTGAGAATATAACTTGTGGCCGAATCTAACGCGATTGATGCGTCAAAATTTGAAATATCAGTGACAAAATGAAGTTTGGCGTAATGCAACAGTTGACACATTGCCCATCCGTACAAGTTGTTCACGTCAAAAGACATCAAGCACGATGATGATTTCGATGGATCGAAAGACTACAATGTATTTGTTACTAGCTTTGGCATACTTGTTCGAACACTGCTCGACTCAAGCCGCCGTATATACCATGTTCGATGAACATGACCATATGGATATCGGTGAGCAATTCAAAAGTAACCCCCGTATGCTTCAGCATGGCATTCCACGTAAAACCTTGTAAGGTGTATTAATACGTAAAATCTAATTGTTAACATTTAATGCACCAATTCTCAAAAATGTCAGCTAATAACAAGATGTCAATCTCCAAATACAAGTTGCTCAAATACATATCAAGTCGCTCAAACACATATTTATTCAAGGTTTAATTAGCATAAAGAATCGCTCCCAGACGTTTGTAGTGTGTGCGTAATCGCTTTCGGATATTGCGTCGCCCGTCAATTAACAGTAAAACGACTCGCGCAATAGTAAACATGAATCCTGCATTTTGTCCACATATTTGCATGGAAAGACACCTTTTCGCGTCAATAAATCGAAGTCTCCAACTGATAAATTTATAAATTCGGAGTAATTTTTAACTTGTCTGTTAAAAAAAAGGAGCCAATTGTCGAGACTGGTACAAAAAATTTGTATGAACCAATAAATCGTAACTGTATACAATTTCGCAATTCTGATTTCTTAGCCGTATTTTGCACATTTTTCGTAAATGAAATAAATTTTTCTTTAGTTATTGGAAGTAGATTAATTGAACTTTGAAATACATTAGACATTTCCTTTATAATGCGAATCGTAACCAGATCAATTGTGAAAAACTATAGGAATAATGAATTTTTATAATTTAAATTACAACTTTAACGCGCGGGACCTCTATAGTAACCGATAAGATGGCAATGATATCGCACACTCGTTTTCCACGAATGGTTTCTTGCATGTGTAACAGTGCGTTGCGCTAAGAAATGTATTTCACTCTTCTTTCAATAGATTTTCCACAGGAACATTAGTAGATAAGATATTCTTTATTCAGTGCTAATACTTCCAATCGTTCGACAAACCTCGAAACGCAATTGGTATCGCGACGAAAACGATATACGAATAATATAATATCGTATGAGCAATGCGCATAATTTCTTATACTAAATAACTTATGATGTTGATATGTGTGTAATATACATTTTTCTTCTAAAGTGTTCCTTGCAATTTTTTTCAGCACGCATTCCAGATCCGTGTACACCACAAACGGAAGTCGCTCTTTCCTGCTGTAGTTGTCAAAACTGAACCACTTGTCTTCGCTGAGTAGCAGGATGGCGCAATTGTTCATTTCTTGACAAACTATTGCATGAGTCTTTAATTTCTTCAAATAGAAGTAGCGCAAGCACCTGCAAATAATTTTATTTAAAATTCTTTTCATGCATTTTTTTATATTTTGCAATTTTATACATACTGGTCACAGATATATTTCTTTTCTTTGTGTATACTCAATTGCATGCCCACTAGTTGAGATAAGTTCTCGAATCATGCAAAGTGTCCAACGTTGTCATTTCGCGAATCTAGGAGATACAACAGGTTGATGTGTTTCTCTATCTTTCGATCAGTGAGACTTATTGGAAGAATTGTAAGTTTTGCTGCTGCTGCCTTTTTCTTCTTCTTCTTCTCGACATGCATTGATAAATATATCGTTTAAGCGTTCAAACTTTGCAATTACCGCTCTCTTCATTAGTATTTCTTGTGGCAATTCGATGTAACACCTTGTGTGCATTGGACCATACTTATTCATATTAAACGTTAAATTGAGTGTTCCCGACAATACTTATCCGCTGTCACGTTCCTGAAATTCTTCCAAAAATTCTAAGGGATTCAATAACGCACATCTTATATCACTCCCCTAAATCGGATGTGGAAAAAGATCATAGTTTTCATACAAATGCTTTTGTTCGCATTTTTTCCATTCGAGACAAACTCATCGTTAAACACTTTGTTTATTTTAAGTTTGCTGTGTTTTTCTCTAGAGTTTTGCACGTTTCATACCATATTCTTTTTGCACCATATTCTTCGCATCCTGAAGAAATCGAAGATGTTCGATATAATTTGAATTTATAATCGTACCAATTAATACGTGGCTACCGACACGGATGACGATTTCTCACTACAAAAGTCTTGCGTTTGAACATACCTTATCATCATGCACAAAACGATTGCGCAATTTTTTAATCTCTTGAGTCGCGCGACATGAGCAAACAACGAGTGCGCTCAACCAACCAAATGTCGCGGCTGCTTCGTTCGGCAATGTCTATCCAGCAATTCAACACACTTATCACATCTCTGTTGCCATGCAATGTATTCTTCTGGCAAACTCAATCGAGCAGACTGCTCCCACAATTCACGTTCGGTCTGCGCGAGTTCCTTCATTTTTTTTTCATAATTACTGTATTCCATGTAATAATGCGATATAACTATCTCAATAACTTCACTATAAATCTGCAAGAACACGTCAATAATTTCAATAATAATTCCAATAAAAATTTGTAAACTGCGCTAAATAAGCAGCTTAAGTACTATCTAGTCCCCCATCGGGCGCCTCCCCTGGCGGCGCATTGGGGAATGCTCAACGGCTTGCCAAAGAGTACCGGGGAAATAAAATACCCGGGGTGGACCAAAACTAGTAAATCATGAATTGGGGAAAATATGCAATGGAAACAAAACACGGATTTACTACCCCAGGTAGCAGCCCAGCTATGCTGGAAAATCAACCCTCCTCGGAGGTCGGCCCCAAGGATTCTGAGGGGGACCAACCATTGTGTGGAAAAGTTCTTTCATTCAGTGGACATCCATCAAGCACTTATAACTATAATAACCAAAATAAAAATAAAAACTCTATGAAAGGCTTGCACAATAAAGAAACTGAACTAAAGTGTGACTCTCCCTGGAAAACGGTTACAGACAGAAAGAAAAGATCGCTTGCTAGTCCTGAGGAACTTAGCAAAAAACAACAAAAACAAGCCAAAATTAGTACCTACTGGCTTAGTAACCTTGTTATCACGTCTAACAGTTTCTCTCTACTTGAAGACGAAGAGGAACATGATGCAAATCAAGGAACCAAAGAAAAGCCAATTAAGCCTCCACCAATATTTGTGGACGGAGTCAAAAACATTCAGCCTCTCATACATTTGCTAAATGACCTAGCCGAAGAAAATTATGAGATTAAAGTTCTCTATAATGATCAGGTTAAAATTCAGCCAGGATCCTCTGAAACTTTTTCCAAAATTGTTAAACAGCTAGAAAACAAGCAAACCGAATTTTATACTTACAAGCCAAAAAGAGAAAGAAGTTTCAAGGTGGTTCTGAAAAATATACATCCCTCTGTGGATATTGATGATATTAAGGAGGCTCTATTGGACCTCGGACACGTAGCCACAAATATTTGGAACATCAAACAAAGAGGAACAAAAAACCACTACCTATGTTTATTGTTGAACTAAGATCAAACGATAACAACAAGCATATTTATGAAGTGAAATATTTGTTACACTGTCGTATTTCCTTGGAACCTCCAAAACCTAAGCGCGAGATACCTCAGTGTGCCAAATGTCAGCACAACGACCATACGAAAGCCTATTGTCGGCGCAGTCCCAAATGCATCAAATGTGCAGGAAATCACCTTTAAGCTGACTGCGCGCGCAAATTTAGATCAGACGATGTCAGATGTGTCCTCTGTAATGAGAACCATCAAGCAAACTATAAAGGATGTAGTATATACAGGGAACTACAAAAAATCAAGTTTCTACCCGCTAGGAAAAAAAATACTTCCAGCACCAGAGAAGGCAAGCTTGAAACCTTCTTCCCCTGAAATATGCCAAACAACACATAACAAACCCACTTTTGCTCAAACTGCAAAAAATACTGACTTAACTTATCCTACAGATAAGATAAACGCTCCAAAGCCCGACGTACCTATTGATACTAGAAGTATGATGGTAATACTAAAACAAATCACGTAACAATTAAATACTCTAACAAATCTTTTTCACAACCTAATGTCTAGAATGTCAAATTCGATGCATTAAAAATAACCTTATGGAATGCTAACGGACTGTCACAACATACTTTAGAAGTTAAGGCATTCATGGCAACACACCAATTAGATATTATTTTAATCTCATAAACGCATTTCACAAAGAAAAACCATTTTAGTATGACAAATTTTAGTTTCTACCACACAACGCACTCTGATGGCACTGCTCATAGAGGTAGCGTGATATTGATTTAAAAAAATATCAGGCATTATGTCACCTCACCTTATCAAACGGAAAAAATAGAAGCAACTAACGTTATAGTTGAGGATTGGAAGGGAACAATACTGATTTCCGCTCTTTATAGCCCTTCTAAACATGCTATAAACAAAGATGATTATCTAAAATTTTTCTCTTCCCGTGGCTATAGATTCATAGCTGGAGGAGATTACAATGCGAAACACTCTCATTGGGGCTCTAGAATAATAAACCCCAAGGGCAGAAAGTTATTACAGGATTGAAATCCTTGACTTGGCGCCGCCTCATCGGGCAATCCTACTTATTGGCCATCAGACATTAGAAAGATCTCAGACTTAATCGATTTTTGCATAACTAAAGGTTTTCCCAATGAATTAATCGAATGTAGACCCTGTTTTGATCTCTCATCAGATCACTCCCCTGTTTTCATATCACTGAGCAGGGAAATTATGCTGACTTCTAAACCTTGTAGACTGCATAATAAACATACTGACTGGGACTGCTTCCGGAGATTCTTGACTTCCTCACTAGACACAAACTGTTCGTTAAAAAGCGATAAGGATATCGAAAGCGCAGTTGAACATCTCAACAACTGTATCCAAAGGGCAGCCTGGGACTCCACCCCCGAAGCCACCCACACTAAACCTATTTATTATCCTTTATCCTTATCCATCAGGGATAAAATAGCTGAAAAACGACGTGCCAGGAAAGTTTGGCAGAAGACCAGATATTCTGAGGATAAAACCAGATTAAACCGTCTCTCAGCTGAACTAAAAAGACTTATATATAACGACAGAAATGCAGGGATACAAAAATATTTAAAAAATCTAGACGCCACTGCCTCCTCTGACTACTCTCTGTGGAGAGCTACTGGAAAACTAAAACGCCCTGTTCTTCACAAGCCCCTTATACGCAAATCTGATGGATCATGGGCTGCTAGTAATACTGATAAAGCAGAGGCATTCGCTGACTATCTGGAGGGAGTCTTTGCCCCAAATCCGGACGAAGGCTCCAAGGGACAGACTGTACATGAATCCCTAAACAAATTAAACAAATTGCATCAACAAGATTCTCTCAAAAAATTTTCGAAAAGCGAAATCCGTTCAGAAATCAAAAAACTAAAAAACCATAAAGCACCTGGCTATGACCTAATAACCGCTCAAGTCCTAAAGCAGCTACTTGACAAAGCTATTACCTTCTTAACATCTCTGTATAATGCTATCATCAGATTAGCTTCTGTCCCATCCAAATGGAAGATAGCCTTGATCAAAATGATACTTACGAGGGTGGTCCCAGAAGTACCCGACCCAACAAAGAAAACACAAAAATTTTGGAAAAAAATGTATTTATTTTTCAACATAATTTCCTTTCAGCTCTATACACTTTTCCCAGCGATGTTCAATAAGTTCGATACCCTTTTTATAATAAGAACTGTCTTGCTCCTCAAAATAGCCATTAACTGCCAACATCACTTCTTTATCGTTGGAAAATCTTTGACCACTGAGCCATTTTTTCAAGTTTGGAAACAGAAAATAATCCGAGGGGACTAAATCTGGTGAATAGGGTGCATGAGGTAGCAATTCAAACTTTAATTCATTAATTTTGGCCATTGCAATAACGGATTTGTGAGCTGGTGCATTGTCTTGATGAAACAACACTTTCTTCTTAACCAAATGCGGCCGTTTTTGCTTGATTTCTTCGCTCAAACGTTGCAATAAGTTCGCATAATACTCGCCATTGATAGTTTTTCCTTTTTCAAGATAGTTAATGAAAATTATCCCACGCGCATCCCAAAAAACCGACGCCATGACCTTGCCTGCAGATGAAACGGTCTTCGCCTTCTTTGGAGCCGGTTCTCCCTTTTGAGTTCATTGTTTTGATTGTTCTTTTGTCTCGGGTGTGAAGTGATGGACCCATGTTTTATCCATGGTTATGAAACGGCCCAAAAATTCTGCTTTGTTGCTGTGAAACTTCGCTAAACACTCAATTGAAACATCTTCACGATACTGTTTTTGCTCAAGTGTAAGTAAACGCGGCACCCATTTTGCACACAGCTTTCTCATGTCCAAATTTTCAGATAATATGCGATGTACCGCACTTTTTGAAATGCCTACTATGTCTGCTAGCTCGCGCACTTTCAGTCGACGATCATCCATTACCGCTTTGTGGATTTTCTTTACCATTTCTGGAGTCGTCACCTCATTTGGTCGACCACTGCCATGCTCGTCTTGGCAGCTCGTACGGCCTCGTTTAAACTCTGCTACCCAATATTTTACTGTTGTAAATGAAGGAGCAGTCTTACTCAGAGTAGAATCCAGTTCAGCTTTTATATTGGTTGGGCTGAGGCTTTTCAAATAAAAGTATTGTATCACATAACGATGACCAAATTTCTCCATTTTCACAAATTCACTGAAAACGTTCACTATTGATGGCTGTCAAACAAATACTAAACAACGTGGCGTCTTCAAACTTGAAACATATGCTTTATAGATTGTGTACTTTCTAATACAGTAATATTTTTCAAACAATTACCACCATTTCTAGGTCAGGCCGAGTATTTCAGGGACCACCCTCGTAAACCGGGGCAAACCAGCTGAGGACGTTAAGTCCTATCGCCCTATTAGTTTATTTCCT